ATTTACTTTTTTAATAGTTATTAAATCAACTTAATATGTTTTTCTTAGGTTTTATTCATTAACATGAGATCTGCAATTATATAATTATTAAAACAATTATTACGATTTCAATAATTAATAATTGTAATTATTATAAATATATTCAATCTAAATTACTATTTCAGATTAATGTTTATAATTTTTAATATTAACAACTTAGTTTTCTAACATGGTTTTTAAAGCATTGTAAATTTCAATATGATTACTATTAATCAGGTCACTAATTAAAATTATAACATAATTATGACATTAATCACTGTTTACCAAAAGCCAAAATTACATTGATTAATAATTATCTTAGGAATAATTTTTTGATGCCTACTAAGGATTCCAAAATTATTTTTCTTAATTAATGCAGAATATTTGAAAAGGACTTTAATGACATGATTATTATTTAATTATTAAACTAATGATGACTAAGTTAACATATGCAGGTTTGTTATAATTATTATATTTGATTAATATTAATATTTATTTTATTTATTAATTACACAAACAAATGGGCCACTATTTACTAATTACAAAAAACAAATTTACTAATTAAATTGCATTTACTAATAATTATTAAAAGAACCATTTCATTTTATTTGTTATCAGTTCCTTTCATGCCACCGTGTTTGGTCGGCAAAATATTAATAAATTTGTTTTTTTTAGTAAATGCATATGTTAATTAGTAAATTTGTTTTAATAATTATTAGTAAATTTGTTTTAATAATTATTAGTAAAATGAAATGGTTCTTTTAATAATTATTAGTAAATGCAATTTTAATTAGTAAATTTTTTTTAATTAGTAAATAATGGCCTATTTGTTTGCGTAATTAATAAATAAAATAAATATTAATATTAATCAAATATAATAATTATAACAAACCTGCATATGTTAACTTAGTCATCATTAGTTTAATAATTAAATAATAATCATGTCATTAAAGCCCTTTTCAAATATTCTGCATTAATTAAGAAAAATAATTTTGGAATCCTTAGTAGGCATCAAAAAATTATTTCTAAGATAATTACTAATCAATGTAATTTTGGCTTTTGGTAAACAGTGATTAATGTCATAATTATGTTGTAATTTTAATTAGTGACCTGATTAATAGTAATCATATTGAAATTTACAATGCTTTAAAAACCATGTTAGAAAACTAAGTTGTTAATATTGAAAATTATAAACATTAATCTGAAATAGTAATTTAGATTGAATATATTTATAATAATTACAATTATTAATTATTGAAATCGTAATAATTGTTTTAATAATTATATAATTGCAGATCTCATGTTAATGAATAAAACCTAAGAAAAAACATATTAAGTTGATTTAATAACTATCAAAAAAGTAAATAAATAGCCATTACCATTTATTGAATTAGTTAAATATTATTCATGCTATTAAATCCTTTATACAAAATAATTTATTAACATTACAATGTTGCAAAAAATGCTTTAGGACAATATAATTAATGTAATTGGCATGATTTAATAGTAATTCATGTTTTTATTAGTGTTTGGGGAACGCGTCACAAGAACTGCGGATGTGTCACACACGTGGCTTAGTCCTGCCAACTGACATGGCGGGACTGGTACATGTCACAGCAGGTGGCGGGATACGTGGAAAACACGTGACATGGACTAACGCGATTGGTTGGGCTTCCTACGTGGCTTCTGATCTCGTCTTTCTCACTGGCGGGACTTATCTCGTCAGCCAAACCTACGTGTTTGACTGCTCTACTATGGCCATTCTTTTCAAATGTGTTTTAAGATGGAAATACATTTGAAAAATAACATTAGTACGGATTTTTTGCCACATATTATAACTTATTTTAAATTTCTTCAAGGTGTAACCCATCTGAAACGTGCCTGACTATCTGCTTAAAAAATTCTCCTCTTCTGTTAAAAGAGAAAAGCAAAGCCCTATCATAATTCAATTAAAATCTACTGTTCCTAATTTTTATTTTTCTTAGAGACAAAATCACTGTTTAGTTATCGTAAAAACAAATACAAATAGCTTGATTAATTGGGTTGGGCCGTTTGGGTTTCAATCCCGTATAGACGTGGTTGGACAGGAGTGTTGGAGTGCACACGTATTAACGATTGTTTAAGTTATTTTTGAGCGAGCAAGTAGTGAACTTAAAGATATGATGCTCTCAAGATTTGAACAATCTTAAACAAAAATAATCTTAGGCATTATTGAATTCTTCAGAAATAATGTTATCGTGTTTTACTTAAATTTTATTCTCTTAAATAAGGGATGTGTATATTATTGTCCGATGATATAATATCCAATCATTAACTTATGCAAACTCTCTTTCAGTTACATTTCCCCCTATTACGGGTGATAAACAAACTAGGGGTCTTTCAGGAATCTTTGGCTCGGCTCGTAAAAGTCTGAGCTTACATGCCAAAAATTGATTGTTGGAATTAGGCTCGGACTTGTAAAAGCTCGTTTAATAAAAAGGCCTCAAGCTCCAATTTAAAAGCTCGGCCTTAGAGCCTCTCAGGCTGGCCTAGCATATTAATTTTTATTTTTATTTTATTTTTTATTCTACTTTTAATAACACTTTCTCTCTCCTCAATCCATTTCACCTCATTTTATTGGTTAAATATATTTTTTGAAAGATTTTGTTCGATATTATGATGTTTTGATATACAATGAATTTATGAATATTTATGAAATTACTAGTGCTATTAATTGTATATTCTATTTGGATAAATTTTTGTTGTCTTATTTTTTTTAAACAGTTTAACAGACTTAATCAAGCTTTTATTTTTTGTAAATAAGTCAGGGCACAAGCCGATAATTATATTCTAAGAACTAATTATAAACTGTCATATTTATGTTGGTTTTCTAATTGATTCATCCCAGCACCATATTTTTTATTCCGAGGATTAAATGGTTGAATTTAAAAAAAATTACTTCAACCTCCTCTAGTCACCTTGCCCTCGGGGTACGGTCCTCTGACCACTAAAGATTTTTCAAAAATTTAGTTGAGGAAAGATTTGAATTCCTGACTCAAGCAAATTCTTAGAAGCTCGGTTATCAACTGAGCTATCATTGGAGGTTTAGCTTTTTTTATTTAAGTGTAGTGAATACTAGTTAAAGAAATATATTGATAAACCTTTAGTTTATCTTGTTTTATAAACTAAATTAATATAAATTATCAAGTTGAATAAGTCAAAAACTAGGGTTTTAATACAAATATCATGAACATTATCTAATTATGAATTAATTAAATACTATTTGCTATTTTTAAGGGATTTGATGACAAATGGAGTCAAAGATGAAGATATGGATTGATGGAGAGCAAAACAAAAAGATTTAAAGATCTTATCAAGATTCTCAAGTTGTTAGAGAGGGGGCTTAAGCCCCCAATTCGAAGTTAAAGCCTCAAAAAATCAACAAATGACCTCTGCCTAAGCAAGCTTAAGCCCCAATTAGCAAGCTAAAGCCTCCTGTATAAGCAAATATGTTCGGCCTTAGCAAGCTTAAGCTCGCTCCAACAGGCTTAAGCGCGAGCCAAGGAGGAATTTCAGACGCGAAGAGCGCGCGCATAAGCGCGCTACATAAATTTTCCATGCAATCTTCAGCAGGCTTAAGCTCACTCCAGCAAGCTTAAGCGCAAACGTTGATTTTCAATTCGTAAATTAGGAAGCTTAAGCGCGAATGAGAAAGCTTAAGCGCCCCAGAAACCCAAGTTAGGCCCAACTCAAGTTATTCACTTAGGGCACGATTCTTGGCCATTAAAAAGGCATCTTGGGGTCAGAATTAATGACTTTTTCACATTGCAAAACAATTCATGGTGCTTGGAGGCAGAGGGAACACAGAAGATTCATCGTTTCATGTTCGTGAGCGGCGGAGACGGATCAACATCAAGTCTGCACTGGGGATATTGAAGATTCATCAATCACCTATGGAGTTTGAGGGAGCTTTTATATTGTCTTTCATTCTTGATATTGTTATGTCTGGCTAGTTCTCTAAGGAGTTAGGGTTAGATGGAATTTAATCGATTTATTATGCTTTGAACAATTCATATGTTAATTTTATTTTATATCATGAATGAGATTATCTGTTTTTAATGCTTTATATAGGCTTGAATCTTATATATTGATTGTCTGTAAATGATGACAATAGGAATGTTGGTGTATGATCCTTATCAGATAACTTCATCGTACGCTTTATGATTCTAGGCATAGACATAGAGTTTGCGTAATCTTTAAGATTCTTAAACTTAATGCTTGCATTCTTGGGGAATAACTGGGGAACTAGGGTTCTTGCAAGACTGTGAAAGTTTAGGGTAACAAGAGATTGAGCCCTAATTACATGCGAAAGAATTAATTAGATTGATACTCAGACGATTAACATTAAAAAGGAATTCAAATATAATAAAGAGATTAAAAGAAATCGAAACTCTGGCTACGTTTAATTCAAATTTTTAAATTCTTGTCTTTAATTTCTTGCCGTTAATTCTTGCGATTAATTTGTTTCGTCTTTTAAATTTCAAATTCAAATTTCGTTCCAAATACAATTTCGATTGTCCAACTAAGTTTGCGATAATGAATTAGTGCTTGAGTATAATCCTCGTAAGAGTGATCTCTTATTCAATCATTATATTACTTCTACGATCAGTGCACTTGCCGTGAGTCTCAACATATATCATTCCTCAAAATAAAATAAGTAAAAAAATAGTGTGCTACTCGCAGTTTCCAAGATTGTATAAACCTTTTGCGCGTTTAGTCAAATTCCAAACTCCAATAATTGACCACACTGGATGTAATGCACGTGGATTGCTCCCACCCACCTCAACCTGTCCAGCGTTATTACATGTACATCGTTTCCCCCAACCACGTCGCTAACTATTTCAACTAACTACATGTAGCTGACAGCAAAAATTAGATTGACTAGGAAATTTTATTACACTGAATTTATGGTCTTACCATAGCTCACTGCTGCGCACAGAGCCCTACATAAATTGCATCAGTCCTACTCTGATGTTCTTAGCTAGCTCATTCACGCTCATGTTGAACTCACCCTCCATCTGGATTTCCACCAAAACAAAATAAATAATGTTAATGCCGAGTCCAAAGTGACTTTAAACGATAATAGTGGAAGTAACGTTTAAACTGTTTTTTATTTATAATAATAATAATAATATGAAAAAAGTACGTGCCATTTTAAAAGATATAAAATTATGTCATTTTAAGTGAGAGAAAGAAATAAATTATGAATAAGAGAATGGACAAAAAATATAAAGATGTGAATTTCACTTCTTTATAAAAGTGAAGCGATATAAGTTATGTTATTTAAAATGATAAATATTTTTCCTTGATAATTAAATAATTTTTTTTTTTTATATTTCATGTGTTATATGAAAAAAAGTTATGTCATATATGTAAAGTCACGTGAAAAGAAAAGAAAATATATATATATATATATATATATATATATATATAAATTAATTTTATTTCTTGTAATATGATAAATAAATTAATTTTATTTCTTGTAATATGATAAACATTAAATCTAAATAAAAATGGATTTTTTACCCATATATATAAAACAAAATTAGAAATATTTTATCTCATTAATTATAGAAAAATCATCATCTCATTTTACATGAAATAACTATCTCATGTTGTTCTCATATCAAAAATTGTGCCACTATTTTCTTTTTCTTTTTTTAATAGGTGATGGACCCTACCACATCATGTGTCTATAGTAACAGATAAGTATATCGAATATCGAGAAAATAGAATATAAATTATTTCTCCATTTAAAGCCAAAAAAACTTAATATCAGACTCTGCATTTTCAGATTGCGCATCACAATATATGCGATTTATGTAAAAACCAACGCATGATTGCCATATTTTGCAAAATATGGCATCACTCCCGTACACGTTTTAAGTTGCGCACTCCTCCTTGCATATTTTGCAGGCACGCTCGTGACTAGCTTTTACATAAGTTATTTATGAAGATAATGTGTGACTTAAATATGCACGATGCTTTTTGCATTAAATTGGTAAAATAATTTGTTAAGAAAATTAAATTGATAAATAATTACGGAATCGAAAAAGGCATAAAAATTGTACCTCGGCTATGACGGTTACGACCAGAACGGAGGAACCGAAATAAAATGCACTGTTATTGATAACTGAGAGATGAAGTTTCTCAATCTCTCTAAATATGTTAAGCAGCGTTGCCTTTTCTTTCTGGCAGTGGATTCGAATCAGCACGTTCTTCTCTGACACCCTTGCTTCAACTTCTGGCAGTGACAGGTTTATTTTCGATGGATCATCGGAGTTTCCATCGCAGGAATTTGAGGATGTATCTGAGATGACATCATCGTCCGCAGAGAGCTGAGATTTCTTCACAAACACCACCGATTCTACGCTTCTCCTTTTGCTCTGTTCCTCCATTTGTTTCACTTGCTCCTTGAGCACTTTCACGTACTTTATAGCGTCCCCTAACACAGAAGCTTTGTCCATCTACAAAAAAAATTAGAGTTTAGTACATACACATATTAATTAGCTTGTTTGAGTAACATGGGTTTCAACAATGAGTAAAAAAAACGAACCTTTTGGAGGCCTGGAATAAGGGCTGAGAGAGCTATGAAAAGCTGGCTAATTTTTTCTCTCCTTTTTCTTTCAGCAATTATGTGATCATGTGTGTGGTGAGGATTCACAACGTGTCTCAGTTCATTCTTTGAAGGCAAAGGTCTCTTATGATTCACAACCTTGCTTTCTTGTTTCAATGCTGATTCAACCTTTATTGATGGTGTATTCGCGTTATCAAACGAAAGAATGTAGGACCAGGGAAAAGAACCCCTTTTTTGTGAGTTTGTGCTGCAAGTATTGAGTACCTCAGAAGGCCTCTCTGTCACTGAAGAATTATTGTTCACGATGCTGGTGTTTTCGATGTTGAAGGTGGCATAAGAACAGTGACTCTCGGTAGAGAAAGCCCTTTGCGGGTTCTCCTGCTGTAGGGCACTGGCTATATCTTGACAATGAGATGCTAAACTTCCATCATCAAAGTTTTTGTCTGGTTGATTGATGAAATCGTCTGCTTCCTGGAAAAACAGAGGAAAAGTTGAGCTATAGTTCATTCCAAGAAAATGGGAAGCATGTAAAGAAATATATGTTGATTCGAAAACATTATGGTATAATATGTATTTTACCATATCACATAGCCAACTAGTCCACGATTCTTCCATTGATGTCATGTTGTTCCAAGTTTTATTTCAGTTACTTGCAAGCAAGTTGAAGAACAAAGATCCTGAAAGAAATTAAAAAAATTGTCATATTTTGATACTAATACCAACTTACTCTATCATTCATACTTTCCAAGTGAAAAATGAAATCTATTACCTCCTCAGCAATAGCTGAACGGCTCAATCCAGTTTAGAAGAAAAACAATATGTTAAAAAAACAAGCTGTCTCCTTTATTATATAGAGAACCAGTAGCAACTCACATGCATATATTCTTCATTTTTCTGTCTATTCTATCACGTGCCCAAATGTTCTTGTTACACTTGTAATTTACAAATGAATGGCAGCTTGAATTTGTAGACACCTAATTATATACTTATAAATTTCACATTCGTAGAGATCTTGCAGTTTGATTAGTCTGTCATTCAATACTTTTTCACACGTTTTATGATTCATTTATTCTGCCACATAATACACAGGTGAGTGGATGTAAACCATAGAATATGATAGAAATGTACAGGAAGCATGATTCAATGGGATGTAAGTTTAAATAATTTGTAAAGTATTAGTTTAAATAATGATGTACTGAAAAGGCATAGGAATGTTTCCCAAAAGAAAAAAGGCAAAGGAATATAAACATGTTTAATAATAATTTATAAAAAATATGGAAAATGTACTTCTCCTGCTACAAGAGGAGCGGGGAATTTCTGCATATTCATGATTAACAATTCATGATTAATAAATATAATATCTTTCATAAATAATTATGATTCAAATTTTAGTTATGGCATAAAGTAAGATTATCTTTCTCCTAGAGTAGACAAAAAATAATCATCGATTAGAGGCCATGATCTTCTGCTATATTTATACAAATAATACAATATAACACGGCTCGAATCTTAACGCAACTTTCGAGAGTTTAATTTTATTTTAAATAAAATTAAGAAGTAGAATCCTTTGATACCGGTGTCAAATTTGAAGTTTGACACCTCATCTGAGAGCCGTTAAATCAAAAAAGATCAATAACTCTGATTTGTAAGCATGTGACACCGTTGATCTTTTTTGATTTTACGACTCTCATACAAAGTGTCAAACTTCAAATTTGACACCGATGTCAAGGATCCTACCTCTAAAATTAATGTTAACGAGGCTACGGATATTAACTGGAGTTACTTATGCTATTTTATAAATTATTCAATATTTCTACATCTTAAGTAATTTATGTTCATGATCAGTATTACAATTTTCTGTTCGATTATTTTAAAACAAATATTTGTGTTTTTCCTTTGTCTTAGGAGTGGGAACTAAACGTGTCACATTTAGCTAAGATAAAAATGGTGTTTAGTTAATCTTAATTAAAATTTCCTAAGCGCATGTTTATCAAAACAAATTTTTTTTTCTTTTCTGTAGTGGTAACATATGCAACACATAAAAGGACGATATCTTTTGATATCCGTGCACCTGATTCGCTGAAAGACAAGTAATTAATTAAATGAAGGTGATATCTGATCTGATTGCCGGGGTTTCTTTTTTAATTTTAGAAATTCTGAAAAAGTGGGATAGAATAAATTTTTTCTCAACTTTTGGTATTAGAAAACTGAAAATATTTTTTTTTTTTTTTTTGCTTTATTTCAGTTTTAACTACAGAATTTTAAATGAAAATATTATCTAATACATGATATTTTTATTTTTCTATAGTATCAGTATAATTAATTCAATATCCTTGTAATATTTTTGGACCTACTAAATACATTTTTATAACTTACATCAAATTTTTTTTTATTAATTCTTAAAAAAAAAAATTCGATTACGAAAAAATATCTTTTCTGTCAAAACCCATTTGATTCACGAATCATGAATATACTTCTAAAAAGTTGTGGATTCCATGATTACTGCAAAATAACTGTCTCGGCATCTTTCTAAAAGTTGATTCCCAATCTGGCAAGCCATGTGGTTTGCAGCGTGTGGCATCCCAAGGGGCTTGCATGATCAATGCAGGTATCAGGAAACAAAGTGAACCTTAAAAAACTCCAGCTGTACCTACCGTGTTTCTTAAATTAGAAAACAAGTTGGACATCAAAGGAAATAAACAAAAAGATGTGCATTGAAATGATACAGAAATTTACTGCATTTGGAAACACCCTAAAAATTTTCCAGGAAACGAGTGAATCTTCCGCTGTACCTACATTGTTTCTTAAATTAGAAAACAAATTGGATATCAAAGAAAATGAACAAAAAAATTTGGATTGAAATAATACAGAATTTTACTCTAATCGGAAAAAATAAGTACCCAAGTGAGAGAGATCAAAATTAAAATGAGAGAGATCAAAGTCTTAAATACACATATATATATATATATATATATATATATATATATATATATATATATATTTGACATCGAAACTTTAAAGTGCATTTTTATTTCCGGGGACAGCGCAGAAAAATTCCACATTTAACGTAAAAACCACATCAAATTATTTGGAAACTTAATGCTAATAAGTTTTCTACATCTAAGAATAAAGGAGTTAAATTCTAGTTATTTGCGTTAAACTCTTAATGAAAGTATAAAGTGTACAGAATTAACATGATACAAGTTTTCAAAACAACCAAATAAAAAAAAAACTCCAAATTAATTAACCGTAAACAAAAACCCTAACATGCAAAAGTAATATATTAAAAATAAATAAGTCCAACCAAAATATTACGGAGTTAGCATTAAAACACCAACCACTCAAGCCAGGAAGTGGGTACTTCACAGTTGTTCCAAGGCTTCTCCAAGAATCTTCGATTCCCGTTCCAATTGAGCAAATACACATAGTTCACAAATCACACACAGGTCCTTCACCAGCAACCATAAAAACAGTGAAATATCTATAATGGAAGCAAGAAGAATGGTTTACATCTAATTGTTCCAAATCAAAGTTGAAAAATGCCACAACATACAAAATTAATCTTATAGAGTCATGTTTTACTATAGGGAAGAAAAAGTCATGATAATCATCACCTCCTTACCTGGGAGTAGCCCTTGGCTACTACCCTTGCCTTATATCCGGCCTCGTGTATGCCAAGTACTCTAGGCTGCTTCTTGAACATTCATTTACATCCTAGTACCCTTTTGTTTTGAGTACGACCCATCAGCTGCCATGTCTGGTTTTTCCTTAATGATTTCATCTCCTCCTCCATTGCTTCTTTGCCATTTGTCTCAAGTACTCATCTTCATTGCCTACTTGTAGGTCAATGGCTCTTTTTGCTCATTTTGTTTTCCAACTTGCAAATGTCTACATGAGCAAATCTAAAAAGTGGTCTAATGTTTCTCCTAGTAATATCTTTAGACAATATATAGTCATTAAGATTATAATCTTCATAATTATCTTTAGCCATTGTAGGAGTTATTGGATTATGTGGAAGTGTTTAGACCATTGCGGTTTGGATGTATAGGATCATCATTGTTTATAATTACCTCTTGTTAGCGCAGATTTGAAATGATGCTTCACACGCTTGAGTCTTTTGCGTCATAACACGAACTCACGAACTGTTGCGTTACAGCATAAGCAAATCTCTACTGTTCTGGTAAACCTTTCAAACTATCTCTCGAGGAAGAAAGAGAAGTGTGTGGGCACTTTTCAGATCTGAACTTACCTCCTTGTCTAGAGTGACCTTTTTTTTAGGTTGATGACTTAACTGGTAGTATTTATAAGGGTTCCAAGAAATTCTAGCCCTAAGCTCATTGGGCTATAGGTTTCTTGGGCTCTTCTCATACTCATAGCCCATTTGAGCTTTAGTAAAAGAGCACAAATCCAACAATCTCCCACTTGCTCTTTTGGATACAAACTTGAGTCCAAAATCCAAGACCATGTAACCTATAAGTCACCATTAACTAAAAACACCTCATCATTTATCTCAAGCTAGTTTGAGGATCTACCATCTGGTATTAATCAAGGCTCCTGATAATCAACAAATGATTATCTAATTCGGTACTGCTCCACTAAAAGCCCGAACTTGAACTCCAAGATTAATAACACTTATAACATGAATATGCATCACCCCTTTGTTGAATGTCTATAATTGATTGAAAACTTTTCTGTAACTCAATCAATTATTTATTCCCTTGACTATGATAGTTTCTCATGGATTACATGCACTAACCAGTGTCTTCAATATCCAAGTACCGAAACATATCAAGGGGACATATCCTACAAATTCCATGTTGTTTATCTCATAAATACCGACAATCAAATGATCTCACTCCCAAAATATCGAGTTATTAGTCGTCAAAAGATCTAACCTCACTCATTGGTAAATCAAAGAATGAAAACTATTTGATTACCTATTTATAATAAACTCAGGATTAAGAGCAATCACATAACTATAGTTAACTGGAGATTTGATACTTTATGACAGAAAAACAATTTTAATCAAGTCTCTCTTTGATTAACCTAAGTCCTCATCCGCAATCAACTTTTTCGGCTTCTCTTGCTTTCAAGTTCATTCTTTGTGCTCATGTTCAATCACTCCAGTTGCTTTCTGCCTTGATCATTTCAGCCTCCAATTCATACCTCTATTGCTTTGCAAGTTCAAGTTAAAGAAAACTCACTCTCACTCAACGTAACTATACTGCTATCCTGCTACAGCAAAAAGGATCATAACAACATAGCTAAAGATGCAATCTGTTTTACCTTATTGATGCAACATTCTTTTTAAACTTCTTGTTACTCTTTATTGAGGCTTTTTCCAACTTTTTTTTTCATTATTTTCACGTTGTAACATATAACCTAACTTTCTTATTCAAACAAAACTGAAAAGTAAATTTACCGAATTGAAAATTTAACTAGTTACCAAACATGTTCCTCTTTTTCATTAATTTTCTAGGTGATGCATGGGATTACATATAGAAAAAAGAAAAGAACAAGACAACCTGGGTTTTTCTCCATTTTTAAATCAGAACCAAGGGAAGCTCTAATCAAGGTCTTTGTCTTCTTCTTGGTCTGAGGGGTTATCTTTCATATTTTCATCT